ATGATGCATTAGCATTGCCGGATCCGGAATAACTTTCACACCTCTTTCCATTTCTCAAAATTGATTCCTACGTCACTTTTGCTAGCAGCGATAGTATCCAATTTTCTCTTGGCCAATTACAATCATCAATGCCATCCGTCTGTCGTATGAATCAAATATTGATATAAATAGCATTTGCATTGACGAATAAAATTGTTTCATTCATTGACATCAATACATATAATTATCTGGAAATGAATATTTGAAAACTGATAATTGGAATATATTTATCCATTTAATGGATACAATAAATTAAATATATAATAACGGTAAAATTTGATTTAATGGTAAATTCAAGTATGGGATAAGTTTTTAATAGTATAAAAAAACCAAAAACAATTATTCATTCATCTATCTAATAATAAATTAATTTAAAATTAAATTATTTGGAAAAAATATTTACCAAAAAAATAAAAAATACGAAATAAAATAAAAATCTTCTACCAATTACTAAATATAATAATTTTAAATTGAAATGATCTAAAATAATTTATTAATTAGCTTTTTCAAAAATAAAAATGAAAAAAATAAGAAAAAAGAAAAAATTTGCTTTCTGACTTCACCATTTACTTATGTGAAATAATGAATATTTTAAAATAACATTAGGAATTCAATTTATTTAATTTTTAACTTAAATAATTTCATTCAATATGAATGTATTATAAAAGAGCTGATTTGAAGCCATCTCAAATAATGTCAACTGAATGTCACATCTATGATAAACTTTTTTCTCTCTCTTCTTTTTTTTTCCAATATATAGCACCATTGACTTCCTTTTTTTTCTTTTTTTTTGTTTGTCATCAATTTTATTTCGTTCTATTTCATACTTTATATTATATTATCATACGCTTTTCCTTTTTTAAATTTTATTATACTTTGTTTTTTTTCAATTTTTATAACACGAAATGAATTTATTTAATTTTAATAGGAATTGAATTCATTTAATTTGAATGAATTTTGGTTTTTCGATTTTTTTTCCTCCACTCTTTATTAAGTTTTCAATTATTTTGCAGAAATTAGCATTATTATAAAAGAATAAAAATGGTCAAAAAGTTTTCCAATGTAATGTATACTATTAATATTATCATATAGTAGATACGGACGAGAAAATGAATGGGTGAATTAATTAATTAATTAATTAATTAATGAAGAAAGCCATAATTTTTTTGCTATATCTTCTTACCGATGCAAACAGTAGAAATTGAAATTTGCAATTAATTTAAATTTGTAAAACTCACCAAAATGATTCCATTTTTTAAAAAAAAATATTTCTATTCAAATGATAGCAAATGTACAGCGAAATTTGTATATTTAATTGAGAATTTCACTTTTCTAACACATGCGGTACTTATTTACTAATTTACTTGTTTACTTCAATACTTTTCATTTGATTTAACAGAATGAATTAATAACGCATAACCAATAATTACCGTAAAAAAAATAGGCGAAAGGCAGGGAAATAATTTATAAAAGAATTCAAAAATACACTATGAATGAATTTTTGAAAGAGAAATTGACCTAAAAGTGCCTAGTTAAAAAATCCTTAATAAGCCAAGTAAAAAAAAAAGACATCGTTATAGATTTATTAAAAGCCTAGTAAAGGTAAATTTTTGCAAATTTGATATTATTATTTAATATTTCATTTTTTTTTCCTTTTTTGTTTTTTTGGAATATAAATGAATTTTGAAAATTCAAACTTTTAAATTTTATGTAAAATTTTAAATGGAAAATCAATTTCTTTTTACTTTGTAAAATAAAAATAAAAAAAAAATAATGAAAATATGAAAAGGCAGAATTGTTGGTTAAAAATATTGCGCAAAATATAATTAGCTAAGGAATGAAAAAACAAATATATTTTGCATCATGTCATGTCACTTTACATAATGTCACGTAATGGTTATGACAAAAGATGAAATAACAATTGCTTTTTTAAATGTCACATAACAATAATTACAATAAATACATGAAAATCTGTTTTATGAAGCTAATAAATTTAATTAATTTCAGTTTGTTTAATCAAAGTTTCGAAGTTTTTTTTTAATTTTATTATTCGAAAACAATGAAATTAGTTGGGAAGAATGATGTAAACGAAATGTGAATAAACGGTGTAATGATTGTTTCAATGAATTTGATAATCAAATAATTAAATAAGAGAAGTATATGAGTAAGTGAGCATTCAAATGTGAATGCTAAGCAAATAAGCAGCTAAGCAAATAAGCAAATTGATTATTGCTACAACAGTAATAAGCTAAACACACTTTTAGAAAGGTTTATAAGTAGCAAAAAAGAAATTGATTAAAAATGGATGATAACATATCGATGAATATCAATAAATTACTATCAAGCAATCATTCACTCAATCAATTAATCAATCAATCAACCAATCAGTCAATCAATCAATCGATCAAACCATCAATCGATATCAATCAAATAACGTGAAAATTACTATAAAATGTGTAATAATTTACATATTACAATTTTTGCAGTCGAATTTTTGAAAATGAAAAATATTCTGTATAATATTATACACCAATCAAAAATAAATAAATAAATAAACCTGAAAATCAAACTAAAATTTACTTTATATTATAAAGTTACTTTGTAAATAATTTTAAATTGATAACTTATCGTCAGGATTTAATCAGTAATGTTTAATCAGTTTTGTATTCAAATATGCTTGGAATTTGCGATGATTCATAATAAATTTTTTAAAGCTAATAGGAGGAAAAAAAAAAGGACAAAGTGATTGGTAAGTTTTCAAAGCTGATAAATTATCATTTTGATAAGTGATTGATAAGTTTTCAAAGTTGATATAAATTATCATTTTATTGTCTCAATCGATTATTATTATTATTATTACTATTATTATACATTCAGTATTTTTTGCTTTTTTTTTATGCTTTTAATTTTTTGTGAAAAATTTTTGAGTTGAAAAAAAAAGAGAAGCTTTTTTTTCAAATTTCAAATTTGTTCATTCTTTTTTTGATAAACAAAAAAAAGAATAATTTCCTTTTTTTTTTTCTAGCTTAGTAAGATTTTTATAGAAAAATTCTTTCATGTAAACAACTAAAAAAAAAAAGAAACTTCAAAAGTAAAACATAAAATAAAAAGTAAAACATAAAACGGAAAAAAAACTTCAAAAGTAAAACATAAAATTTATTCTCAATTTAAAATCAAAAATGAATCACAATTATTTTATGAATCACCAGAATCAATTGGACGAATAGTAATTTCATTTTAAATTTTAACAAGAAAAAAAAAAAATTTCTTGGCTTTTGGCCTATATATACACATAGGAAATCAATTCTTCTCGCATTGTGTTAAAAATGTTTGCTTGTGAATCTGGGAGACATCGATACATTTATGCTAGGCTAGTTAGTATGTGGCCACATTTTTCACTTGGCTTCCGATTCCTTTTTCCAAACATTTCCTGTCCAATCTATAGTTTCACAACTATTTGCTTCCAAATTTTCATTTATAAAATAGCTTTTATTAAATGTTTAAAATTTACGAAATTGAAGAAAGAAAAAAGAGAAATATTAAAAAAAAAAAATGAAAGAGAAATGTTTTAATAGGAAAGAAAAAAAAAATTACTAAAATTATTACAATATATATTATTTTGAAGTAACAGTGAATGAATAATGAATTGAAAAAGCTTAAAATTATAATTATTCATTTAATTTATTTCTAATTCATTTTTTAGAAATACAATTGTTTTTTAATTATTTAAAAAAAAATTTTTTTTATTTACAAAACAAAAAGGAAAGGATAAAATATCAAATTTAAACAAAAATAGACTAAAA